TGATCGCGATGGACAACCCAAGTTTGCACACATAATCGGACTAAATAGGCAACAATCGGACGATTCTTCTCGCTCCATGTCGACACGAACAAATGGTCAAGATCGAGAGGATTCAGTCTGCCCCAAAACCCTAGCCGACAACCACTAATCGGAGAAGATGGAGGACGGCCAAAGGGAAGATCAACCGCCAGAGGGACACCGTCGCCGCTGAATTGATGCCACTGCGTCGAAAAAGGTAAAAATCTTCCCCTTCCACTCGAAATTGAATTCCCACACCCATATCATAGCAAAAAAGGCAGCAGGTGAGCTGGAAAACCTGAGCGAAGCTAAATCGCGCCATCGTGGCTGCGACCTGAAAACCTCTCTGATGACCCCTTCCCCTTTCCTGTTCCCTTCAGTTTTCTAATCATCGTTACCCTTGTTTCGTTCTGATGCAAGTTAAGTCGAAGAAACACCCCGACCGCAAAGGAGGAACGGCAGAGCTGTCGCACCCGGAAACCCTTCCGTCGGTAAGGTTTCAGTTTTTCCCTTTTTCGGCCAACAGAGGGCCCCTAATTTTGTTTTTAGCAAGTTTCCATGCAAAACCGGTCAAAACTGGCCTAAACTAGAAAAAACGGCCAAGCCGAGAGGAGGCGGCGCCGGAGGACGGTGACGCTGCCGTGCTGGAACCCTAAATTGGCCGAAAAAGTTTAAAAACACATATTTTGGCCTTTTGGGGTATTTTTAGATACGTGATGCGTATTTCTAATTTCCGCATGAAAAATCCAAGAAACTCCATAACCGCCAGGAAGTGCAGTGAAACGTACGATGTTTCGAATACCGATCCGGAATAAAAATCTCTCACCTTTTTTCCCGTTATGGTAAATTGAAACTTAATAATTAATAACATTGTGTTTGTAAAAATTAGAAAAATCCTAAAATTTATTACAAGTCACCAGTAAAGCCGAAATTGGTCAGTGTATAGTTTATCTGTGTTGTACATTTATTTCTATATTGTCTTAATTGCTTACCATTATATCGGGTACTTTAATTTATTGATTTTAATTGTCTTTTTAATTATTAGTTTACGTAACCGTTTTATCCTTATCTGTTGATTGGTCTAAAATAAATGTTCTAATCGTATTTTCTTAATTTTACATGTTGTCTATTTGCATGATTTACGGTTGATTGGTATAGATGAGATGTTGGTATGTGATGTGTGATTGGTTGATAATGTGGATCTGTGGATGAAATGCTTATCGGGTACCCTGGGAAAGGGTGTACGGACCCAATACATAGGGAAAACCATACCATGGACATTATATCAGTCGAACGGGACTGAGAAATCCCATACCGTAAGGGGTTGGGAGGTATAGTTCACCCTCATACCGGATGAGGTATTGAGGGAGTGGTATATTTCACACCCATTATCGAACGAGATATGGGGATGGCCAGTCAATCGAGAAATTGGATATTGAGTTCACACATATGGAGATATCCCTATGGACCCTCAGAAGTACTCGTAAGCAGGTAAGTTTATTGTTATTGTTCATTTGTATATGAAATCAAAATACAATTCGGGTTATTGATTTCACAGGCCGGTTTTGGAAACTCTTAAGGGCAAGTATGAAACTTGCATTCTTTTATATTAAATGAATTTATTTAAGAAAGCAAATGGTTTCATTGATTCTTTTATGATTTTTTACCAATCTTCTGTTTTCCGTATCAATGTTAAATGTGATATTCTTACTATACTGGTGTAACTCATTCTCTTATTTAACCATTTCAAATCAAGAAAACCAAAATTCAGATCCTGAACAGCAAGAGGGTTGCAAATAAAGGTTATCTTCTAAACCTCATCAGAGTTGTCCAACGAAAGTTAACCCCATAGGATTTTTATTTCATTTTGTTTTAATTATTTATTCCGTTACTTTGAACTTCTATAAAAAGATATTCTCGTAACCTTAATGAGTATCATGATTTACTGTGTAAGGAATGTAAACCTTAAATTCTAAATTGTTTCCGTTTATAATTGATATAATTCGATATTTCTATTTCCTTAAGTTTTGAGTCTTTACATGAGAGATGAGCAAATTCTAAAAGATGTTTATCCTTCCTTTCGGCTATCTCATTCTATTGATGGGTATCAACATGTGAACTTTGAGGAACAATTCCTTTTTTTTCAAGATACATATCCAACTCTTCTTCAAAATATTCTTTTGCAGTGTCTGTCTTCAGCACTTATATTTTTGTTTTGGAATTGAGTTTTGACTATGTTGAATTTTCTGAATATATGGTCAATTCTAATTTTGTTTTATGAGAAAAAACTATGTAATTCTTACATAATCATCTACAAATGATACAAATCATCTATTTATTGATTCTAGATGGTCTCCAAACATAATGATGTATTAGGTTTACAGGTTTTCTAGGGCAACTTGGGATATGTAGTACGAGTATTGACAATTGACATACTTCACAATGGAAGCTTTTCATAATTTTGTTTCTAAATAGAGAAGGAAATAATTTTTGAAGTATACAAAGTTTGGGTGTTTCAATTAATAATGTCATAACATAATTGTACTAGAATTGTCTACGTTGGATTGTCTTGAAACTCAATACATACTACATTATAGGATAGTCTCCTAAAAAGTCCATTATACTTGAGAGAAAGAACCCAAAGGAAACTTTAGCATTGTCAATCGTCCTCTTTGAATCCAAATCCTAAAGTTCACATAAGTTTGAGGAAAATTTAACAAAATAGTTATGATCTTGGACAAGTTTCCTAACTAATAACAAGTTTAAGAAAAATTTAGCAAAACAGTTATGATCTTGGGTAAAATTCCTTATTGACAAGTTATAATCCAAATTAGATACATGAAGCACTCTTTTTAAAGTTAACTCCTTTGGGATAGAGATATCACTTATTCTGGTCACTCTTGAGTGAGATCCATCCGCTATTTTTACAATCAAATTCTCATTGCATGAATTATATCCTAAGAATAAAGTTCTATTTCCCATCATGTGGTCAGACGTACATGAGCCAATGATTCAAGTATCTTACCTTTTTGGAATAGAATTGGGAGTACTAAAGAAATTATCTTTTGAGGTTACTTTCCTGACTCCTATGTTGTCATTGATAGAATTTTCATAGGGGAAAATGTTTTGGAGGGGTTTTATCTTCTCTTTGCTAAATAGGCATGATTCCTAATTAGAAACATAGCTTCATTAATGGAGACATAATTTCCCCTACTTTCTTTCTCCGTGACTAATTTTGTGATGCTCAAATCAACAGGCTTTTCATGAATTTTCCAGAGATTATGACAAGCATGACTTGGTTTTCAACAGTGATCGAGGCCTTCCCTTTTTTGTCGGATGTATGAATTGGGATGAGGGCCCCAGCAATCAAGACAAAGCTTTGTTTAGGCTTAGGGCTTGTGAATCTTTTTCCCAACATTACCTTTTTTTTTCTATTTTCTTCTCTTCTTACTTCAAAAATACTTCAACAATGTCAAGTACAATTTCATTCTCAATATTCTTTCCCGAGCTTCATCAAAATTTTAATTTAATCCTATAAAAAATTTGAAAATTCTTATTCTTTCTAAAATTTCTCTGCACCATTTTGCATCATTGAATAGCTCCACACAAGTTTCTCAAACACATCGAGTTGTTACCTGTTACCAGTGAGCAGATCATAGTACTGGGTTACGGATAGACTTCCTTCCCTACAAGTCGTGGAGACTAAATTCAACAACAAAGACTTATAACATGTTTTCTTTACTCGAATAAAACTCTCAGCTGCTTCACAAATTTCGTATATCATCCCGTACAACAAGAAATTCTAATCGATATCATTTGTTATGGAGTTAATCAGCTACAACATAGCCAAATTATTATCAGTCTTTTGAGTTTGGAACTTTGGGTTTTGGGCCCTCAGTAGGTAACTTCTCCGATGAAGTATTCTTTTCTCCCTCTTCCGTAGTTAAACATCTTAACTGATTGATACTACTTAATATAGTTTCTTGCATTTAGCTTGTGACTGGTGAATCGAAATTTTAGAGATTTTCGATTCAAGTGGTTTGATAAAATAATTCCACTTGACTGAGATGTACCTTCCAAGAGATCACTAGTTCTTGTCGTGGTCATTCGGTATTTGGTCATCGGCAATAGAGAAAGAAAGGGTCTTTGAGTTCAAAGATCCTGCTCGGATACAATGAAAATTTGAAACTAAATTTTCTATTTTATTGAATTTTTTTCATGGTACATAATGTACAACAACAAAATACGAATATAAGAAAATTAGAAAGAGTTTGAGAAGGAAATCATACTCATAAAAAGAGAAGACCTTTCAGTTATTGAAAGGAAACTATGATTCTATATGGAGATTTTCCTTAAGACGCCAATCTGTTTAGGTATCAGACTTCTAGAAGAAGTAGGATTCCTACAGTATCGAGATCTGTTTAATTTAGATTTACCTCCAACATTCATGAAATAAACATAGTATTAGACAATAATAGAAATGAGCGACTTTCAAATGAACATCTCTAAACACCAAGTGCATCTTAAATGAGTACGCAAAGATAAGGGAAAAAAGTTCGTAAAATGCATCTGCTGCCAATCTATTGAACTGGCAGAAGATAGTGTGTTCTATTATTGCCACATATTCATACTTCAGTATTATTCCTGAATGGTCAGTGCATTATTCCAGTTATTAGATACAGCCAGGAGACACCATGGTTGTCAAACTCTCTCCCCCTACAACTAAAATTGCAATATGAATCACTAATAGATAAAACACAAAGAGCACAGACAGATGCATTTATTTAACAATTGGATACAATAGCTTTGACTTGTTCAGTAACGAACAAGTCAACATCAAATTTCTAAAACTAAAAGCATATGAGCAAACAACTTGAGACTGAATATCTCCCCTTTTTCTTGCCTCTACTTAAAAGTCAGTTCATACAAACAGCTATTAAGAAGACAAGATATCTGTAAAAGCAAGGAACCCTAGTACACACCATTAACTTGTGAATAGAAAAGAGATCGACATTCCTTGTATCGGTCATGTCCTGATACATCCCAAAGCTCAACAAAGAAATCTCGTTCAGAATCACCTTTAATGCTTGTTGAAGAGCTTCCAGAACTTCCATAGGTTATGTGCTGCACATGAACCAAAAAAGAACGGAACATTGCAAAGATCTTAACTCCTCTAGTTCAGAGCATTCTTAAAAGAATGAAGGAATTACCTTGACACCAACTGTGCATCCAACAGTCTGAGGAGGGCGAGCAATGAAAGAACCTTTGACAATCAGATGAACAAGAGAAGTTTTCCCAACACCTGATGAAAGCTCCACAGGTCAGGACCTATGCAGACTATTAAATATTAAAGAACAAGGTCTTCTTCATTTTCACTTAATAAGCAGAGCTAGCACACAAAAAAATGGAACTAGATCAGAAATATTCCTCATAGTTTTCACATGGTATTAACATGGCAAATGGATCTCTGTTAATTAGGTACTTAATCCATTAAGGAAAAAAATAGTTAAAACATTAACAACCAATCAATATGACAAGTACATCATTCATCACCCTCATTGATAGCTAAAAAGGGCACTTTGCCATAAACCAAAATATCTTGAGGGTTCATTCCCCTTCTTTTCTCCAAGGTTTGAACTCACTGGTTCTAGACCCTCTTTTTCTTTTTTTTTTTTTGGTTCAAGGGTTACCCTCTTTCTTTTTGAGTGATATTTAGAAGAAATCCACACCTCTATTAAGGGTTTCTATTTGAACTCTCGCCGGAGTCACAATGATATGATGTTCCATAGGTTGTACCTCTGTATCCTTGAGTTCTAAGGAGTCACAATGATATGGAACTTTTATTCTATATAGATGCTATTTAGTGCTTGGCTCTTTTAGATATTTTTCCTAACTTATAACCTATTCCTTTGTACATGGCTGGAAAAACATTCATGCCTAGTTTTTCTTCTAAATAAAAAAAAATTAATACAAGACCAGAACCATAAACTAAGGTTTCACAGTTTTCTCCAAATATTTGTTTACTATGCCACACATAAAACAATCCCACAGTGCATCTCCTCAATAACAATGATGAGACAAGACAAGAAAATTCTTATTCAATGATTAGCAGAAGAAAATCAGTCTATTTTTAAAACCTTCATTCAACTTCAACTTAATCAAGTCCCTTCTTTCTTTTTATCTTTCTCATTTTTTTTAGCAAATAAATCTACAAGCTTTGACCAGTTATATACAAGACAAAGCCATCTCAGCTTAGTCCAGATGAAAAGGTGGCTAGGGTTAAGGATTGAGGTCCTCAGCTCAAATTCTATGTACAAAAATGACAGTTAGCAACAAAAGTTTTCGAAATTACATTTGCACATTAGATCTCTCAAATTAGAAGATGTACAAAGGGATGATTAAATATATCTGATATCAAATTTGTTTGCATCCCAAGATCATTATGGCCTAACAAGCTTCTTGAGGAGCAAAAGACAAAGGTCTAAAGTTTCACTTATTTCCACCGACAACCATTTTGCTCTTTGGTAACTTCCTCCCAAACGATGCTTAGATGAGGACCATATTGCAGATCCATTTTCTGCTATCTCCTGAAGCGTATCCCAGGTTAACAATACAATCCGCATCGTTCAATCTGCCCAAGTTTGTGTTCATTTAAGCATGTTTTGATGTTTATATATTGTAGTTAACACATGAATACCACCAAAAATCCACTAAAGTCGAATGCAATTAGTCATAATATCATGCAAAAGAGAAGCAATTAAACCTTTGAGATTTACCATAAAAAAAACGACCTGATAGTTTACAGGTCACTAGTATGAAATAAGACAGAAACCACAAATAATTGCAAATACCTGAGTCCCCAACAACGAGTACTCGAACCTGCCCACACGGCGGTCCACCATTCTGATCTTTGTTCTCCCTCTCGCGTTCCCTCCAAAACATATTTGTTTTGACAGAAAAGAAAAATTACTTGTAAAATAATCCAGCAATAAATGTCCAACCCACTTTGGACCAACGGAGTCCCATCAAACTCGCTGAAACTCAAAGTAAAACGATGATTATCGAAATGGATTTCCCAATATTGAATTCAAAAGCCATGGTTCATCGAAATCATTCCTCGATCTAGGCTCCCAAACAGGAAGCCAGAACTGGACATTTGCCAAATACAATCAACACAAACCTCAGAAATATTTTGGAAACTCAGTTCCAAAGATCTGGTGACAAATCTTCAATCGAGTATCTTCTGTACCGAGCGATAACCAGAATCAATTCAGTCTGCAAATTTCACTAGAGCTCAATGTTTACTAAACACAAATATGGAAATGAAGAGATTTCGAGCAAGCTCTAGATTGAAAATTAGTTTGTAGTTGTTTGGAATCCTTGATTTCTAAAAACAACTTCAACGACATATGAAATTGTTTGGATGGATTTGAGTAGGGTCTAACGTCGGTGCAAACATGTTGGCTGATAAACGAGAACCAACAAGTGGGAAAGGGTTTCACGCGCTAGCGGGAGCGTATAGGGGAAAATTAAAAATGTTCCATAATTTACTTATAATTTTATTTTATCTTCTTTTGTTTAGAATTGTCAAAGAAATATATGGCAAGTTACTAAAATATTTTAAAATTCTTTCAGATAAAATACTCTTCATTAAAAATAAATAGTTGTTTCTAAAATTTTAATAAAAAATAAATTTATTTAAAATATTTTACGTATTTATTATTATTGCAAATTTATTATTAAGTTTAAATTAATATTATAGGAGAAGTTAAATAAATTTATTAAATAAAAAATTAAAAGAAGGTCTCCAAAATTTTGTATACGTTACCTGGAAGGAAAAATTAACCTTCTAACATTATGAAATCCCCCCCATCAATTCTAGAAAAAACCATTTTAGATATAAAGGTCGCAAAAGAGCACCACATTTCAGAGAGCGCATAAATGCGTGCTATTCAATATTTGCATTTACATGCAAAGATTAACAAAAGTATTAATGAAGGACAAGGCTCTTATGTTTTCCAAATTAGTAGGCAAAATCATTCACAAATTTGGAAGTTTGCTACGTTCACATGGTCAGACACCTAAAAATTTGCATGTTATATTTATCTCACAAACAAAATAAGATCAATAACTGAATTCACTACGAGATGAAGTGAAAAAAGAATATACAAGAGACAAATTGTAACGGCCCCGGAAATTTAAAATGAAATATGGTAACGGTCCCGGAAATTTAAAATGAAATATGTGTATTAAAAATGTCAAATGCGGAAGCGAAGTCAAAATTTCGATTAACATCCCTTACACTAAAACTAAAAACGTGCTCAAAATATAAAAGATCAAACTAACTAAAGGAGAAACTCGAAAGTAAAAGCTATGAATATGACTATGGGGTCTTTAGGCGTCCCATTCGTCGTCTTCTTGCGGAACGGGCTCGGGAACAATGTCTTTCTGATCTGAAATGATTAAATAAATAATGAGCTACACTAGCCCAGTAAAGACATCACGATATCTCACCGTCACGGAGGTAAAGGTGGGTAGAAAACACAAAAAGACCAATGGAGCATAATTTACAACAAATCTTTTTATCAATAATAAAACCTTTACCATCCACTTACTTCGGTGAAATTCATAAAACAGTATACGAAAGCAATAACATTATCATCATCATGAAATCATATAAACTGTATAATATAATACTTATCACGCCTTTTGTAATTCAATCATTACACAACATATTTTCTTCATTTACCAGCCTACTAGTATCCATGGGAATCCATAGGGGTCCCGCTACCCGTTAGCCCTTAACACTTGAAATCAGATTCCATGGTCGTCCCCATACCCCGTCCGGTATGGGCGCCAAAACTATAAACCTCATTACCCCGTCCGGTATGATGGTGAAACGGGCCGTCTCCATACCCCGTCCGGTATGGGTGCCAAAACACATAAGGTCTCCATACCCCGTCCGGTATGAGATACCACAATCCCGGTAGGGTTCCCTACGGACCCGGTCCATCCACCATCTCTCAGGATATCTAGTCAGGCTGACCACATTATACAATTATCAATCTACATAATCTTTCATTCTCCTTTTCCTCAGTCAGCATCATCAATTCACACACAAACAAGCAAAACAATAATTTATGCCAAACAGACAACATACAGCATCGGTATCTCAGTCATTCAACCCATAATCAATAAAACAGTAAAATATGCACACGAAACTATAAAATGAAAACATCAAACCTCATACTGTATTTAAAACTGTAAAATAGGCCAAATAACAATTAACCGACAAACACACTAGACTCGGGCTCCATTAGCGACCTTAACCAATTTCACACATTCGTTGATCCAAGAAATACCGTTTTATCATTATTGAACTTTAATACCGTGATAGGAAATAGGGTGAGGGGTCCTTACTCGTTTCGGGGTCCGAACACGGCTTCACAATGCGCCTATAGGCTGTCCCTAATTTTCCCTGAATTTTTTCTGGGGAACTGAAACGCACTACTGGTACCTGCACGTGTTCCAAAAAATCCCAAATTAGGCCCAGGGCCCCTTTTTGGCCCATATCGCAATTCCGGCACGGCGGCTCCGCCGTGCTCCGGCGACGGCACCGCCGCTTGCGGCGGCGATTCGCCTCGGGTTAGCTGTTTTCGACTGTTTTCGGTCGAATTCGGCCACACTTGCATCGGTCCTTGCGATAAAACAACCCTAGGGCCTCGGGGGGCCAAAAAATTACGAAAAACTGAAGCTTACCGGCGGCGGTGCTCTCGGGTGCGGCGGCTCTCCGGTGAGGTTCGTGTTTTGGTGATTCGGCTCCGATCAACCTGTAGAGAAAAGAATGGTGATCACGGTGATATTAAAATTGCATCAAACGGAGGCCGGGAAGGGCCTCATCGGAGGTAAAAACCGAGGAGGGGCGCGGTGGCGCCGCTAGATTTCGGTCGTGTTTTCCGGCCGTTTGACCGGGATTTTGGCTCCGATTTGGCCACAGGAGAAATCAGCGTGGAAAAACGAGTCAGGAGTATGAAATTTACCTCGATCGACGGTCGAAAATCTCCCTGGTGCGGCGGCGGGTGGCGGCAGCCTGCTTCTCCGGCGTCTGGTTCGTCTTCTCCGACGAGGGCAAACGGCTAGGGTTTTTGTGGTCAGGTGTGGGGGTTCTATTTATACCCTTTTGCCTTTTGATCTTAGCCGTCCATTTTGATTTAATCTGGGCCGTCCGTTTTTTATTGAATCTGGGCCGTCCGTGCGATTGCATTTGGGCCGTCCGTGCGCACGCTTGATCTGGACTGTTCGATCACGCGTACGCAGATCACCAACGTGGCCCGTCCCCTGTCGACGTGGTCTTGCCACGTGGCAGGTCCTGGTTGGCCAGGACTGCTGACTGGGTCTGCTGACGTGGCTGCTGACGTGGCGCGCTCTTTTTTTTTCTTAATAAAAATATTTAATAATAATAAAATAACAAATTTTCCGGGCGTTACACAAACGAATGAAGCAAGAAACAAAATAAATAAGATATGAGATGTCATGCTCGAACCATAGGCAATATTTTAACGAAAATTTAATGAGAAGTTTATTTAAATATTTTAAAGGTAGACAGACAAAAGTAAATAATAAAAATTATTATATGATAATAAATACAAGAATAATTTAAAAGTACTTAGAATCTTAATAATAGATTTTGCTCAAATGAAATGTCTTAATATTCACAAACCTCTTGGGGCGGGGAGTGACACAATCGACACCTATTTAGGGGATAGCTGCAGATTTAGGATCTGATTGAATGATTTGTATAATATTTAGGCCTGAAAATTGGTTTGAAATAATTTTTTTATTAATTTATTTATAAAATAATTATATTAAAATAATTATTTAATTTATTATATTTAAATTTTATTGAATTTTTGAAAAATAAATAAATAAATGACGAAATTGAAAATAATCTTAAAAAAATATGTGAAATTTTGAATTCAGAATGTGTTTTTTGAAAGAAAAATTAGAAATATGTGATCAAAATACAAATAGAAGAAATTCGACCACGTGGGACAGTCCAGTCAGTAGCCACGGGAAATCAGGGCACACTGCGTGACAAAACACGCTGACGTCGGCACCTTCCCGGGGGCCACGCGAGCGATCTGTGTGCCCAGTAATCCGACGGGCCAGAATTGATCTCGTATGCGTGGACGACCCAGATGCATTTTTCTTTTAGGCTTGATTGGACGGACGAGATCAAATGCGATGACAAACGAGATATGGTCACGTCATCAGCCTAAACAGAAAACGATCAAATGGTTCTTTTTACTCCATGTCATGTAAACAAACGATACAAATCGAAGAGGAGATGAGTATTTAAACTCCTCTTCGCAAGGGAACCCAAATCCTAACCGTTAGCCCCCGCGGGAGAAGAAGAACTAAACGCTGGAGAAGAAGGCCGACCGCTGATCGCCGTCGCACTAGAGCCACCACCGACTACCAAAAAGGTAAAATTTCTCCATACTCGCTCGAAATTCGATTCCAAGCCTCTTTGTGGCCATATTGGAGCAAGAGTCACAGCGGGTGAGCTGGAAATCGCGGGCAAAGTCTAGCGGAGCCACTGCGGCCAAAACCTTAAAATTCCTTTGATGAACCCCTTTCTGTTTCTCTTTAACACGATTTTTTGACCATTATGTTCGTCTTTCTTTTCTATGCAGGTAACCCAGAGAAGAATCTCCAACCGCGAAGGAGCACCGGCAGAGTCACCGCACTCAGAGATCCCCCGTCCGTATGTTTAGTTTTAATTTTTCTAGACAACCGAGGCTTCCTTACGTATTTTTTCACAAGGATGCGTGTAAAATCGGCCAAAACCAGCTAAAATCAGCCAAGCCGATGTGAACTGCCACCGTGGGCAGCAGAGTTGACATTGGAGCACGGCGCCGCCGCAATGCTGGAACCCTAAAATTTTCAACACTAATTTTGAATTTTTTTTTTGTATTTTTAGGTGCTTGATGAGTATTTTGGGTTCTCGCATGAAAAATTCAGGAAACCCAGATCCTGTTGGGAGGCGTAGTGGACAGTTTAGCATTTCGAAATATTAATATGGGTAACTTTGGTTATTAAGGTATGAAGTTTCATTGTTTACATAAACACCATTTAATTAATATGTGAATATGATATGAGAGATTGGTCTATGCTTAGTGTTTGTTTTATTGATGGGCATCTTTATGTGAAAGGCTTACTAGATATCTTGGGAAAGTGTAGACGAACCCGATACATAGGGAACCCTATCGTGAACGTTGCTTCAGTTGGATGAGGCTGAGAAGTCTCATACCGAAAGAGTTTGGGAGATATGGTTCACTCCCATACCGGACGAAGAATCGAGGCGATGGAATATTTGGCACCATCATTGAACGGGGTATGGGGACAGCTGGTTAATTTATAAAATTAGATATTTTAATCACGCGTAAAGGGACATCCCTATGGACCCACAGGGGTACTAGTAAGCAGGTAAGAAAGTAAAATTGTCCCTTTTT